TTTCAACACTATGATTCATACCGAAATTCAACCCCGATGACTTCTGAAGAAATCACAGGTTTTCGAACTTATGGAGCGTCTCAAGATGAAGATTAACCCGAGGGTAGTGCGTCAGTGTCAAAAGAATGATCTAGACGCCTCGATTGCTGTAGATCAATTACAGCCCCTTTTGTATTAGTCGTGTCATAATGTCTGGTTGCAACTGCTTCGGGAATTTGAAATGAAGACAGCTCCAGTCAAAGATATCAATTCAAAATTAAAAAAAAAATTACGTGTTTGTCTTCACCGGTTACATAGTATAAAAACTGTGACTGTGACTAAGCGATGAAATTGAATTTATGAGTTAGGGAATTATCGCAATCAACAAGTCCAAAACGAGTCGTGCATCCGCTTATGTGTTATGAGCTAAATGAAAAGTTCGCACTGCAATTCTAGCGAGAATATGAGAACAAAAAGAACAGCTGAATAGGTCTGAGAAACCAAAGCCAACAAAAAGTAATTTTTTGACTATCGTGAATATCGATAAGCCAGCCTGCAGGTGCAGGTAGTAGATAAAATACGTGTTAATTAAATGGTATGTCAAATCTAATATGATATAAACTGGAGACATTGTTACTATATGTATTGCCAATAATGGACAAAATTGAAATTTGAAGACTTTCAGTTCGAAAGGCCGGCTCGCCATCCTGGACTAAGTGAAATGAAACCGTCTTGCTATGAACGTGTACTTGATGGGACTGGTCTAATTAGTAATCTAAGCTAACCGTTGAAAGTAGTGCCTAAATTAATGAATATAAGTGTTTTCCCATTGCAGTGTAATTTGCCTTTGGGACATGACCCAAATAAGACTATATTAATCAATTAGCTGTCATTTTTGTGATAGCTCATTTTAGACTTTCTATTATCTCTATCAAATCTAATTAGTCTGATCGAAAGTTAGCTGGGTCCCGCTGAAGACGGGGCGATGATTCTAATTTTAAGTTAACGGTTGCGTCTGTCCATCTGTCTGTCTGTCTGTCTGCCTGCCTGCCAGTCTAGCCGTCTAAACTTTGATAATACTGGAGTTAAGGCACGAATAAATGGCACTGAACTATAGGGGCGACAAATTATACACTTCAAGAGCATCTCAGAAACTTCCACATCACCCACGGGGTATTTGTTTGCTCTGAGAGAGCTCAGCACATTGAAAATCAATGGTATTAGCGTATCCGATTTAAAAATTATATACTTTTTTCCTACGGGTAGAATAAATGATCAACTTCCAAAGTTGCTGGCACTATCAAAAGTCAGCATTTATTGATGCACGGGCAACCCTAACATTACACATAAATATGATAATAGTGGATGAGAAGCTTTTAACCTCTATTTGGAGCGTACATGTACCGTCAGTTCGGTGAACTTTGCTTTTGTTGTTCAAAGAGATGAAAATACAAGGGATAGCGCTATTCTGCCTTTGACAAGATTTGTCATTGCAGGTTGAAATAGATTTATCTTTAAAAATGACGTCACCATTCATAGCCACACCTTTCATTCGTATGATGAGCAGATTTATCCCCCCCCCCAAGAAAAAAAAATGCCACACAATGCATCTGTAAAAAGAAATGAATGTCTATATGGATTGGCTTGTGATCATTTATGAATTAATGACAGTTTTGTTTTTTATACAGATTTTACACCATATAACATATAGATTGCTGTTCCCGGGGGAGATGCTCGCGCAGTGATAACGTTCTTTGTTGATTGAAAGTATAAATTAATTAAGCATGGCGATGATGAGTGTAGATAGCCTTCTAATTAAAGTGCCTATGGTAAGTGAATCTTTCAACGCGAAGATCAACTCTCTGAGTGGAGTAAGGCTTCATTCACATGCAATGTCTATTTTCTAAATTCTATTTTCTATTCGCGGTATGTCTTATGATCACGGTCTGTGCCCTGAATATCCCGCGGCGTAATCACTGGCAGCGCGAGCCAGTTACAATAAGTTACTATAAGTAACTGGCTCGCGCTGTCAGTAATTACGCGGCGGGATATTCAGGGCACAGACCGTGATCATAAGATAGCGCGAATAGAAAATAGAATTTAGAAAATAGACATTGCATGTGAACGAAGCCTAAGTGTAAAGAGAGAGAGAGAGAGAGAGAGAGAGAGAGAGAGAGAGAAGGGTTGCTGTGCGATACATCACTGACAAATAAGAGACCTACAAATAAGTGACCGTCCTTAAAATAAATTGAAATGAAAGCCAAATAAATATAAATTGGTTGTGTCAATAACAACGTGTTTTTGTTTCTTTATTCCCTTTCTATTACATTTTTAAATACAGATTGCACTTTATCCATTACATATATATCAGTCGCATTAGTATCTTACGTTTAAAAGCATTTCTAGAAATATAAGCATTTCTAGAAAAGATGTAAGCGTAGCATTAGTGTACGCAATGAAACCTGGCGTTATATCCGGGATATGTGGTATCTTGGGTGCTTGAAGCCATTCAGAATATCAGGTATAATGCACAGCTGCATAAACGAAGTAACTTGATCAACCTAATTTTATTCCATGTATCTAACACCTTAAAACATTCCACATCAAAATTACGAGATCCCTCTATGTCAGTTTCTCCACGTTCCACGTCAGGTTATGTAAGATCCCCCTCGGCGCCCGATGGATGACCTCTGAAAGCTCATCAAGTCTAAAATTGGTCCCCATTTTCTCCGTCATTTTCTGAACCAGTTATCCAAACGCATTAAATAAGCGACAAGATAATTTCTCAAATTGACGGCGAATTAGCAGCGATCGTGGCCTCGCTGCATGCTTAGCGTTATTCTAACCATTGTCCTTCTATCCACGACGACAAGGAACAATGCCCGCCCCACGCTGCGGACGGATGTCTAACCTCAGAGCTGTGAGAGATCAGTCGGTGCAATTTTTCTAAATCCCCTGCCTTCTACACCTGTGGCCTTAAAGTGTGGACTTATCGAATACTGTGCGTCACTAGCTGGGAAATAATGCTATATTAACAATATATAAGGTTTTTAGTTTTCCCCCATAGCAGCAATTTATTGAGCTCAGAATGGTACATTGTCACATTTGCCAAAATTGTGTGCATAAAGAGGAAAAAATATTAAAAGACAAAAGTATTAAAAAACACAAGTTATGTATTTGGCATAATTACATCAATTTTGATACCCTTTTTAATAATGTATTCAATGTTTAATATCATTATTCTTTATAATACAAAAATATATTGGTTGCATTATTATTATTAGAATTTATTTTTCATATCTATTTTGAAACCGTGTTCAGCGATGCCCGAGGTGAACACTACGTGTGAATTAAGAGTCGAAAGCCTGCCTCAATAAATCATATCTCTGCTACCATGGGGCTGTCTGCCAGTGAGTAATAAAACAAATAGCGTCTGTACCCCGGGGTCCCAGGGGATCTCGCTCTCTACATACCCTCTACACGGACGTTTCTATATCAACATTAAGTAATAGTATCATCATGGACATCATCATCAGCACTTACTTCTTGTAGTTAAATTCCATGAGATAATTCTTAATTATGCGGTTATTATATTGTAGATTAATGCAAGTATTGCTCGATATTGTAACCTGCTGTCATATTTTCATGTATTTATATACTTAAGTACATTATCGAGCTGTTCGCCTTGGCTCATGAGATAAAATGAGCTTAATAATATATATAATATATGGCTTATATAAGGAAGTACCTAACTGAGTGTATTAGTAATACATGAAATATGTGGGATTTCTTGTATATATATGTCCATTCTCTGCAATACAGATCCGAACTGTATGTGTTTTTCTTTAAAAGTGAAATGTATTGCTTTTATGCGTATTGTTAGTAACCCATGCTACAGCAAGAGTTATGCCGCTGAAAGTTTTCAAAAATTATCTTTAAGTTGTAGATCAGAAATTTATTATTATATAATGAACACTTTTATGTCTATCTGATACAGATACCTCTGGTGTATATACATCAATAAACTTACGATTACTGTAATAGGCCTAATATATCACAATTCATGCAACCACATTTGTAAAACTGGACGTTTTCATACAGGAAAGATGCAGTAATTACCCCTTCTGTATGTTAATTGTCTCTGGAATATGTAGCAATATTACCTTCGGGCAGTTATCAAGAAAGGTGAAAATAGAGATGATGTCTCAGGAAAAAGAAAGCTTAGGAGGGAATTAGCGCACGCTAATTCATTATGAAAACAAATATGGATACTTTGAAGTTAATGCCCGTATTAACTATACGGGATAAGTAATAACCTTGAGCCCTGGGTGGGGTAATCGACTATAATAGCATGGCAGGTATGTTTCACAATACGGCTATAAAATCTATATGTAAAATAATATAAATTTATAGAAATTTAGGTCGGAGTAGTTGAAATACTCACACCTGTTGACCTATGATAAACACTAAAACCTTCCCAGGAAACAAGCCTTGTATTTCAACGGATGACATACGAGAAATGCCCGATATACACAAATATGAGAAGGAACAAAATAAACTTGGCCTGCTGTTTCTGTGTTGCTAAATTAAGGACGATGTTTTCGACAGTTGCGTCTGTCAGAAGAGAGCCGGCGTACGAGAACGGTTTAACTCATTTCAGCGTTTAACGGGGCAAGTCGTGTGTGTGTGTGAATTCAGTGGTTGATTAAACCTAACTCTACCTACGAAGCCACACCATTTAGGTACTTAATCAAGGCGAATTATTCTAGCAGATAGTTTTCCGTCTCTTCAGAATAGCTTCTAGACTTCGACAAAAGATGGGGTATTCGGTTCACCGCCATGACCCCGACGTGCGATCGAAAAAGAAGGGAAAAAAAGTCAATTGAAATCCCGGTCCTTGTAAATTTACTCTGTGCTGTGTACATCGACGTGTTTCTGTTTGATGTTCTGGAGGTCCTGTGTAGGCCTATTAAAGCGTGCACTAACTAAAAACACTTGCTGAGAAATATCACTATACTTACCGTAGAGAAGTACGGAGAGGATACTGTACAACATCGATATTCGGAATTCCATTGCGGTGAAATGTATGTATCTTGGAAAAAAATTGCAAAAGGCCGTCAGCTCGATGGCACTCTATTTTGATATTGGATTTCTTCCTCAATTCTCCAGGCTGTAAATGGCACTCGTAAAGTTTCCACCGAACGAGCAGAATAAATCCCAAGAATTCATCGCTTCGCACACAATTTTACTCCAGTTTCCACGGCCTGTCGTCTGCTATTTTTCCACACTTGTCGCGATCGTCTGCTCTCGTCCAAATGAAAGGATATCGTCTGCCGCAAACAGTCACATACTTGGCGTTCGCGTGTTAAACCCTACAGCCTATAAACTCCCTCTCTCTTTTCACCGTCAAACCCCGAGACACAGACGTGTCAAAAATTATCAGCAACAGATCTCCCTAATAACTTTGCCTTCTACCCGCCTCCTTGTGACTTCGACCTTTCACCTCTAGAGACCCGTTCGTCGCAGTTTACCCCAGTCTCTTCCTTTCCCAAACAGCACCTCCTCGGACTAGATATATATCTGAATCTCCCTCAGAGGGACCCGTTACTAAATCAGTCAGACGATCTGTCAGCAGAGTGAAAGCACACGAGAGGAGGAATTTCGAGAGAACAGGTTCTACTCCGTGCGTGGTATACCCTTCGTGTCCTCGTTACTCTTCCGATGCGCCAGCCTGTCTGTTATTCCCTTTCCCTCGTGTCTTTTTCAGTGTTATTCTTGTGAGCCGAAATGTCTACCTTTTTACGACCCTTCGTCCGACTTCCTAGCACTCTCGAGCACCAATGTTCTTTGCTTGCTAACTGGACAACCCTTTCTCCGCAGGGCCTCCGTCTCAAGCCGGATTATTTATCAGCAAACAGTATTATGTTTAGTCAGGGCATTCGCAATTGAACTCCTGATATAAATCGTAAATTTTGCACACAAAGGTTCACGTCATTTATTTGATAGCCCCGTTGACGTTTGCTTGCTAGATGTCATGATCCTCTGCGCAAACTGAACCCCCTACTCGAAATAGCCATGCAAATTAAACGGTGCAGAAACCCGCCGTTTTAATTCAGCGTTGGGAATCCAACGGCCAACTATGCTATTGTGCCGCCTCCGGGTGGAAACGCAGTGATGACAAAAATTACACTTGTCAGTTGATTTTGATAAATTAGGGCAGTTGTTTTACGTTAAAGGGGTCAGTGATAGCCTTTTGATACACCAACTTTCTCTGCGTGTTGGGCCTCTCCACACTACGCTCTGATTCGATCCACATTACGTTGAAGCTTAATCCGCAATCTTGTCTGATTGGCACAATTAACAACTGGCTTAATCTCTCTCGTATTGTATTCAAGGACGTACACATAGCTAGAATAAATTAATGTTAGAGCTATTGAGAGGGAATGTGCGTCATTAAAACTAATTTAAATTCGCTCCGTGCGGATCAAGTGTGAACGCGACCTTTTCTTATGGAAAGGTGTGCTCCGAACGACACTATATGACGCAAACAAGATCAAGTTGTATTTATACATCAGTGTGCATGTAGCAGACGCACACGGGGTAGGGGCGAGAGATCACTTTTAATTTCCCTTGCGCGTTTCTCCGTGGAAAATTCCAGACTTAGCCTCTAGTCGGCTCGTGGCTGTGACTTTTCCATTCCAATCAAACAAACTGACTCGAACATCCGTGCAATCTTACGCCATGCTTGTTAATTCTCACACTTAATCCCCACTTCCCTCTGGAAATCAAACCTGTCTATATAAGCAATATTGTTCGGTATTCTAGTCCCTTAAATAAAAAGGGTATTTTCATTTCTCGTGGTGTGGTGCTCCCTGTCCCCCCCCCCCTCCTCCTCCGCCCCCTCCCCGGCCAGTTCCAAACAACCAAACAGGGAAACGCTAGTACCTCAGCGTTAAAACCAGTGCCTTAAAAAGGAACGCGCTCCTCTTGAATAACAGAGATCACCTGAAAAGTGACCCTGAAGTTTGACAAGTAACGTCTGGTGGTCCGTTACGCAAAGAAAAAGATCACCGGTAAATCCTGGATGGTCGACACCAATGCGTTAGATGTGATTGCTTATTGTCAGTGCGGTAGCTGCGAATGGAAGTGTATAACTAGGCACAATGGCGGATGTAGGATTGTTGAGGATTGCCGCCCATTTGTCTTTTAACTTTAAAAAGTTAAAACTGTGGAAGCGTATAAGTGCCACAACACACAACAAAATCACTCAACACACAACATTATTTCAACACAACACATTAACTTCTCGACACAACCGGGGGATATATTAGCTGGGGACAAACGGTGCGGATTTGACGGAAAATAAAAGTGGATAATTATGAAATTTTAGAAAATTTTCTTCACTTATAAACAGTAACAGGTTCATTCAAATTATCAGCTGACCTGAAAAATAGTATAGGCCTACCGTGAATCTAAAACAAAAAAAAAAAAAATAAATAAACCCAAAATTACAGAAAATAAGAATAATTGATTAAAATTAAAAATAATAAAAATAATCTAAAAACTATAGCTAGTGTTCTAATTGTACTCAGACCGACCAATATCATATGTGACAATTTATATATTCAATGCACACCTGTACGTCATTAACTAGCATTTCATAGTAAATAGTAACACCGAACTTGTAATTTGACACGGAGCGCTGAAGTTGTGTCTAGTTTCTAGTTTCCAGTTTCATTTTTCAAAAACAAACCTGGCAACCAGAAACTAGTGTCGTTTTTCNTCCCTAATGTCCCAGTATCAGGACTAGCACCAGTACGTCCCAGTGGTAATATTGTTAAATGGTATATAATGAGTTGCTATTTTTAAGTGTGCAGAAATTGGATTACCCTAACACCTACATCTGTTAGAATCAATTCTAAGATTGCCTGTTAACTCTGTTGATTGACAGTTGATGGAAAGATGGCATCTTTTTGGCCCAATTATATTATTTCACTATCACATACTGATATAAGTGTTGAAATTTACAAGTTGACACAAAAAATCAAAAGTGAATAAATAATGCAGAATGTGTCTATTAGGTGTTGTAGACACACACACACACACACACACACACACACACACATACATATGATTGTAAAGCACAATTAAGATGATCATATAAAAACAGCTCGCTGAAAAGAGGCGTATAAGTACAAAGCATGAATAGATGTCCATGTTTGTATGAGATTGAACAAAGTACCCAGGTGTTATGCAGTGTTTTCATGTTTGTGCATGTCGTGTGTGTGTTTGTGAGCTATTGTACGTGTGGATCTTAGGTTCACAGCATCTGCTGTGGCATAATAAAAAGTTACGTGATGATGGATATTGACAAGCACAATGAAATTTGAGGAATGGCAGTTTACTGTGAAAGAAAAAAATCCATACCAACCATCCTTTGGTATTCTTGTATTTTAATACCTCATGAAAGCCATATCACGGAATTAATACTATTGTGATTGAATATCAAATTTAATTTTCACCAGAATTACAGATATTGTTGGAAACTGAATTGATTTCATACCATCCCAGATTAATTAAATGTGTGAATAAAGCAAGTTTTCTAGTCAGTTAGCTTTGCACGCATTAAACATCTTATGATGTTTGAGTTGTCGTTTATTGCTGACAGTAAAAATAATGATAGTTACAATGATGATATTAATGAAGAACTGATGATGGAATGTTTGAAGTCCAAGCACTTCATGATACATTATTTACATGTGGAGGTTTTCTGCACAATGTATGGCTTTCAATTTGTAATATCTATGCACATGGTAGTTTTTGCTAGTCATTGCAAAATGTTTTGCTATTAGTATTGAAATGAATAAAATAATAAATTATTTGGATAATAGAGAAACCTGGTCATCAGCATTTTATTTCATAGACCAAGGGTATGGGTAATAGCCATAAACTCTTTGGTAATATGTTTACTAATTTTAGGCAAGAACATCAAATTTAATACTTTGAAATAAATAGATAAATAAATGAATCAATTTTTTTGTAATTAACAAAAAGCGATATACAAAATGATTATTTAATTAAAAGCAATTACTGTAGCCATTCCTCAGTTGTTAATAGTTACAGCCAAGTTACTCTGTAGAGAAGATACCATACTTAGGAAGTGGGACTGTGTATACCTCTGTTATCTATACCCTCCTGTACATGTATTTCATATCATTATGCCTTATTGAACCCCTTCTATTGATTTTTTTGTAAGTTGTTCACCTGTTCTTATATGTATTCACAGTGTCACTGCTTGGACTGGGTCCCATCATTGATTATTACAGCCCTGTACCATGGATGGAAGTGATATCAGTGGGATCTCGACTGTAAATAATGGCATCATTTCTTGGAGGGGCCTTATTGTTGAAAATCAAGGCCCTGTCCCATGCATAGAATAAAGTTTTGCTTGGGACCATAGTCCTGAAATTGTAATCAGTGCGTTAATGAAGCTTAAACTAGCTGGGCTCCTCTACTGATTTGTAAGGCCTCGTCCCATGTATAAAGCTAAATTAATCTGAGATGTTTTCTTGTGTACAGTCCATTGATGTTTTAAAGGGGATCCATCATTGATTTTCAAAGCCCAGTAACATGCATAGTTTTGTGCCGGCCCATTCGATGAACAATCAACTTTTGGCTCTTTTGATTGGTCAATAACACTCCGTGCTCTTGCTTCAGCTCTGAAAATCTTTGATAAGGATGGCGAGAAGGTTTAATTGTTTCTCGTAAGATGTTCAATACTCTGGTGTGACGACAAAGGCTGTTGGTATTGGGAATTGTTTGCACAGTTCCGCGAGAGGATTTTGGGATATGAAGCTGGGTACTGGAAGAAATATTTGCTCTGGTTTCAGAAAGAGAAAGAGGGGAATGTCCTTGCATAGGTTTGTGGATTTCAAGAAATGAAAAGAAATGAAAAGTTTTATAAACTTTCTGGGTAGATTGTGACAGCAAGGTTGATAACTGTGTATTCGGGCTTCTCTGGTGACCAGGGAATTCAGACGGACTGGTTTACCAGCATCGATCTTAGAAGACAGTAAAGATGTGATGTCTTTTATGTTCCAGTTACTAATTTGTCATCTGTGAGACTTCTTGCATGGATCATTTATTCCTGCTGTCTCAGCAAGGCAGAGCTAGGCTGTTCGTGCTTTAACTGTTGAATAATGAGTGCAGGCATCAGCACACTGCTGTATAATTGTTCAAACCAGTGAGAATTCTATCAACCATGCTTATAATTCACTCGGTCACTAGTACTTGAAGATGAATGACTCGAGGACTGAATGAAGGACTTGAAGATGACGTGAGCGAATAGGAGATATTGGAGTGCATTGATAACTTTGAGTGATTGTTTGTTGAGGGAACACATACAAGAGAAAATCAGGCTAGTACTGGACTTGTGACATCCACTTATGAGGATCCGACATTTAATTTCTGTGATTTCGCACCACACCTTCACCCTCTTGAAACTGACAGGTGTAGAGTCTTTTTATTTACCATCCAAAGCTTGACATCCATGTGAAGAGATGATCCACTTCATTTGTTCAGCAATTGAGAGAGTGAAGCAGATTTATTTGTCATATCTTAATAGATCATTTGTATGTTAAAGCAGTCCTGGGGTTGTTTGAATATTGTGCAGGTTCCTCACTGTTACACTGTATTATTTAAGAAGAAGTTTCAGAAAAAACCCAGAATGGACCAGCAAGAGGAGAACTCGGAAGTGGAGACTCACAGGTTGGGTTACATAGAAATCATTTTACAAATCAACTTTTGACACTTATAACTTATTTCTTTGGGAACTGTGATAATTCTGATTGTCTTATCTTTGGATAAATACTCACCTGTATGGGCTCTAAATGAAATAATCTACTTTTATTTTATTTTCTTTCTTTCCTCTTTCTTTCTTTCTTTCTTTCTTTCTGTTACTAATTTCTTTATTTGGGAAGCTGAAGAAAAGATTTATGGATACTGTCAAAGAGGATATGCAGGAATTGGGAGTAGAGGAGGACCTATTTATTTTTCATTTAATTATTTATTTATGTCATGTTATCTATAGGTGCTCATTTGGAGTAGAAACAAGGATGCTTACAGTGATAATCTTTCTGGAAGCCTCCAAATGTCATTTGTCTGATACAGGATC